CAACTTGAGAGTCCAAACTGTGGGGGCTTGCTCAATGAAGCTGGCGAATACGTGCATTCAAAGACTTGAGACAGAGTGTAGAACATAACGTCTCGATTAGCACGGATATGATGGCGGTGATCGAGTGAACTCACTGAACAAGATCTTGGATCAGTACAGTGTAGGTGTGTGAATAGGTCTCACTAAATCCGCTCAAAAGGATTTATTTAAGCAAGTAAGAAATTGTCATAGTGAAGAGGTGCTACGAGGATATAGGATAGGTGAATACCCCAGGACAGAAAGAGAGGTACCACACCAATTGAGCGGACAATTGGTAAAATGATCGACTTCACTTCTCTCCCTGACGAGTTATGGTGTAGCGCTGAGAAAGACAAGGCTCACTGGCGATGCCGGCGATCCATCTGAGACTGTACCAAGACCATGGTCCAAATCTTGAAATGATCATGCATACTATGGACTCCGGAAAAGATGCACTGCCCTAGGACTCTCGAGAAATTAGACGAAGTTGTGAAAACAAGAAAAAAAGAGTATTTGTTGAGCTCACTTCCATTTCTTTGCATTAAAAATAGGCAATTTAGTTGATTTCTTCATCAACGATCCCACAATACAATATAAGATGGAAAAATGCCTGGCCTTCTTCGAAACTTACATCTATTCCATGACTCAAGGGTACTCATGGCAATCTGGCGTAATGATTAATCTAGCGAGATTGTGCGCTGCACTTTCATGATTCGAGTCGAGCTGGCGGTACTGATGGGATCAGTTCAGGCGAGCTGAAAACTGCACTAAACCCTTGTCTGGATGAGAATTGCTTTTGAGAAAGCAAGGCTATGTGAAATTAAATGGAAACTTATGGTCTACTCAAATTATTGTGGAAAACTTCAACGAAATCGGGTGAATAGTTCTTATAATTAAGACGTAATAGTATAAAATGTGTCGATTTGCCGATTATGATACGTCTGCTGTTAATATGAAGATAAGAGAGAATATTGGAGCTAATATATTAGGAAATACGTTGAATTGGAAGAATGGATATGTGAATTCGGCTAAGAATGACTTATGCTTGATGTTGAACCACAGACCTGCTCTATCGGTTTAGTGACGATTCTAGTTATATTCCCTCTTGTTCAGGACGTCTGTTAGACTCATCAACCCAACCCGAAGTACATTCGTGATTACGCAATTATTGTCATGGTCATCAAGCTTTTATAACTCTGGACGAACTTTAGGTGCTGATAAAATTATTCCGATTAATGCCTGGCGGTTTTCTACATGCACAGAGCCAAACGCAAATAAAGTCTCACACACTCGAACCAAAAGTATTTAGATTTACATGAAAGGAACTAACCAAATAATTCTGAATTTGTCCTTATATGCATGCATATTTGATGTTCTGTTTTAGTTTAGAGTATCTAGAGCTCATGAGCTAAAACCGGTCAGTCTTACTGACTTAGTGTTAACTTAAACTTTTATAATGTCTGTAAAATAAAGTGAAACTCAATCTCAGCATGTTTTTACTTAGAATCAGGGATGTCTTATAGAGAGCGTTAACCTGAACATCGTGAACAAATTAAAAAACTGAAGAGCATCGAGAATCAGTTTTCATTTTCTGTTAAGTCCTACCATGGAATCTCCAGATTAGTCACTTATATACTAACTGAAAGTCACCACGACAAAACAATACTATCTTGCCCTATCGAAGGCAGGCAAACTAAAGAAATGTGGATTACCTCAAAAA